TTTTTTCTTAACTCTGTGGACATTTTTCTCTGTTGTCTTCCCCACCTTTTTCTCTTCTTCCATTTATCTTTCTTCTTAAAATAATAACTCTAAACAATCCATAACAGCAACAATGTTGAAGAAAAGTGACAGTATCATCTTTATTGCAAATTGACAAAGCAAATGACAAGTTGTGCATTTAAGTTTAGTTCATGAGAAGACTTAGGAATTCCCACATATGGGATGGGGACAGTGTGATCCTTAAGGTTTTGGACTACGACTCCAGTGCTGCTTTTCACTTCACTTTTCTCACTGGCTGGACTAATGTGAGTTGGCATCTTAGCCATCCAGAGAGGTCGCAGCTGCCCCATCGCTAGATCAGTATATTCTCACTTAATTGTAATATCTACTATTAATAGCCTGAAAGAATTGGACTACTATGTTCTGTTGTATCAGATATTCTCTTAACCGGGTTGCTTGAAGTGAAAGTTTTATATGTTGAAGGGAAGAAGTTTGAATTATAGATGGTTTTGCATGGAGTGGAAGGTTGGTTACTGAAAAAGCTGTGGAGGAAACAAAGAATTCATGAAAATAAGTGGGATTTTTAGCAATTGGTTCACACTGAGCAGGGACTATGACAAGGCTTTGTAATGTTTCCTTTGTTGTTTAATGATTTATGGATAAATGTATAAGGAATTGTGATGGACTTAAATAAGAACTGAGTGGGAATATAACTGTGTATTTTTTAAAGCAGATAATACCATATTTTAGTGAAAACCATAATGATTTGTCATGAACTTTGGACAGTTTGTATGATGTTATGAGAAGTATGGATTTGAAAATTAATCTGTCAAAGATGAAGGTATTTATGTGTGATAGGAAAAAAATGGAATGAATGGTTGCAAGTTACATAAATGGCAAAAAAGTTAAACAAGCAGATGACGTCATGTACCTTAGTGAAGTTTTTGGTGAAGACAGAAAAATTGATGAGACAGAAAGACATAAATTTAAGTGTAAATATAAAGGAAAGGTGACAACATGTGATATGCTATGAGAAATAAATGTTCTGTGAAAAATAAATATTCTGTGACAATGAGAATGGCTATGTATAGTAATTTAATAGATCTTTATTTAATGAACTTAAGAGCCAAAGGATCAATTTTGCATTTAAATTTCACCTTCAAAATAAGGCATAAATACATTATTCCTGTGATTTGTCTGGATAAATGATATTTTATGTCATTTACATGCATAAGTACACAAATGATTACAATTACCCAAATGGCACGCAACATTACGTGTAAATTACGTATTATGTACACATCAATTACATCAATTTGGATTTAACAGACATTCAGATTTAGCAGACACTATTTCCCTCAAATGGTGTATTCAACTGAGGCTTTGTTATATATGGCTATGTTTTGCCTACTTCATTATATGAGACTAGGCCCTATCAGGAGAAAATAAAAAGGAAGTGAGGACTCTAAGAAATGCATGTGTTGAAACCAGAAACAATGAGGTCAAGAATAAATGAATATTAAATGAATGTAATTTGAATACAAAAGTGAGAGAGCAATATGAAAAAAGTACATTGAGGTGGCTTGTAACAAAAAGGGAGCAATATGGATGGAATTGCAAAAATTGCAAGATTATGAAGGGAGCAAAACAGTTTGAGAGGAAAAGAAAGTGAAAAAGTTGGCTGAAATGGAACTGACAAGATTCTTCAAAAGAGAAAGCTGAGAATTTACGAAACAAAAGTCTGGGTATGGAATATTGTATGGGCATGCCTTTAATTTATTTGACTCGCTATCTCTTAATCTTTGCAACTCATGTTCTGCAAAACATTGCTGAAAGGGATCAGCATGATGGGACGGGTATGCATGTATAGATTATTGATTAATCTTGGACAAATAAGAAATAGTGCTTGATCTTTGGATACGGTTTCCCTTTTTCCTTTTGTCTTGCTATTCTGACCATTGTCCTATCTCCATGGCTGCCTTTTTATCAAGTTTTAAACTAACTAGAGTTAAAATTAACAGGTTTGTTCAGATTTCTGATGACAAAGCATGTTGTGGTGGTGTAAGATAGAAGCAAAGCTTCCAAATTCCTCCTTGTGGCTTAGCAGAGGATGGGGAGGAAAACATACAACCCAGGAGGCTTTCATTTTGTGGTTTCACAGCATAATGTGCTGCGAAACAAAACATTAAGTCCCACAACTCAGACGTGACTCTGTGGGTTCAGCCAAGGCTAGAAGTACCCAGGGCCTTCTAATGCGCCCTGCACTTTAGAGTGATTACGTTCGCAAAAGAGTAGGTTGCAGTCATTACCGTGGTATATTTGCCCAACTGGCAAAGAGATGGGAAGGTTTCCTGATGAGCTTTGCTGACCTTCTGGATGAGCTCTTCCAGTTCAGGTGTCATTTCGTAGCTATCTACCACCACTTCCTCTTTCACATCTTTTTTCTTCTTATTGCGGTCATTCCTCACAGCTGGAAGAGGAGAGAGAGAGCAAAAGTGATGGAAAAGGATATTTTTAATTGACCATATCAATTTCCTTCAAGGGAAGGTTTTAATTTATGGTATATCTCCAGAAAAGACCATGGAGGGTAAAGGCTGAAATGTTACCATTGATTTAGGCAATACAGTAAAAATGGAAATACTGGATAGACTCTTAAAACAGCAGTCCCCACAATCCCTGGGCTACTGACTGGTATCGATCATTGACCCATTGGAAACCGGAGAGTAGAAGCAGTGGATGAGTGCGCGAAGCTTCATTTGTGCATGCGCAGGAACTAGGTTGCACATGCAAAACCATTCCCTCTCTGCCACCGCTACTGTTGCCGGTCCGTGGAGATTGGGGACTGCTGTTCTAAGACCTCTCTTCCCCAGAAGACCCCAGAGTAATGCCTACAATCCAGATCTTCCATCTCTTTGAAGGAAATGAAAGCAGGAGAAAGGCAACCCAGAGTACTACTCTGTGGCTGCTTTGAACTTCAATTCCCATCAGATCCAGCCAGCAAAGCCATTGGCAAGATTTGTGGGAGCCATAATCCAAAACATCTGGAGGGCACAAAGTGGCTTGATGATCCTCCTACAAAATATCTTCAGACGGCTTGCCAACTCTTTGGTTTTTTTTTCCTCCTACAGACTGACCTTCTCTCTTAAGCCTCAACTGCTGTATTGCTTTGTTTAAGATTATCATATCTGGGCTGTAAAAATCCGGGGAACCGCTAAATGACAACAAAGGGTTAGAGACAATGAAGACAGCTGATAGTTTGAACCAGTGGTGAAATCCAAATTTTTTTTACTACCGGTTCTGTGGGCGTGGCTTGGTGGCCGTGGTGTGGCTTGGTGGGCATGGCAGGGGAAGGATACTGCAAAATCCCCATTCCCTCCCCACTCCTGGGAGAAGGATATTGCAAAATCTCCATTCCCACCCCACTCTGGGGCCAGTCAGAGGTGGTATTTGCCGGTTCTCTGAGCTACTCAAAATTTCCGCTACCGGTTCTTCAGAACCTGTCAGAACCTGCTGGATTTCACCCCTGGTATGAACCTCTAAAGGAACAGGCAGACAGCTGCATTTAAATGTACTCTGCTTGTCTTTCTGATGAAAAGAAAAGAATAACAGCTTCAAATTGGTTCCTCTGATTGCTGAGTCTGAATCTGCTGTGGTTACAAGGATGGCAACTGTTGCTTCCCTTACGGTATTAATGGGACAACTTTCCCTTCTGACTTAGAGCAGCAGGAAAACAACCATTAATCACTTTTCCTAATATGGGACAGAGTGGATTTGGGCAAGTCCGGGTGCATGGTCTGGAATGGTATGCTTAGCCACCTGTCAAATTGCCCAACAGGTACAGGGTGGGTGGGTGTCTGCCTGGCTATTTTGGGAAAACAAATTCCTAGATAGTGTTGAGAAACTGGCCCAGAGAAGATTATGGGATGCAGCAGGAGGAAATGACTGACAAGCTAACTCCAGCCTCAATTTACAGAAATAGCAGTATTGGCAATGAGTCCCCTTCTGCCTTTCTGGCAAAGAAAACCTGGATATAGCCCATGGATGCACCTAGAGCTAGAATGCAGGGAATAAAGTGAGGGAATGGGACAACTAGCTAGAGACAACTCATCGCAGCCAACTCATCACGGCCAACACACCACGGGACAACTCATTGGGGGACAATGTAACAGTTCTATTTAATTATTTAAAGTAAATAAAAATATTTAAATTTTGCCATTTCACATTTTATTCTGTTTCTCCTTTTGCATCCTTTCTTTAATGATTCTATCCCACCATTTCTTTGATGTTAGTGTAACTCTTGTCCCGCAGCAAGTTATCCTGTGGTGAGTTAGCTGTGGTGAGTTGGCTGTGGCAGGTTGGTTATGGCGAGTTGGCCGTGTCGAATTGTCATAGATCCTAAAGTGATGGCCATCTCCTCATCCCCAATAATAAAAACAGTACAAAGTCCAACCACCAAAACCAAAAGTCCCTTCTTCGCACAATCAGCGGAGAACCTATAATGTGCCTGGTTGTGATGGAATCGGCAACATCAAGAGCCCTGGTGCCGCAGTGGTCAGAATGCAGTATTGCAGGGGTGCCGGGGGTTCGATCCTCACTGGCTCAAGGTTGACTCAGTCTTCCATCCTTCCGAGGTGGGTAAAATGAGGACTCAGATTGTTGTTAGGGACAATATGCTGACTCTGTAAACCACTTAGAGAGGGCTGTAAAGCACTCTGAAGCGGTATATAAGTCTAAGTGCGATTGCTATCAAATTGCAGAATATGGTTCTTTCTTTCTACTTTAAAGAAACCTTCTGGGGGGGCACAGAATTAGTGCAAAGTATTGACCCTGTGGTTTTTTTTTTTAAAAAAAACCACAGGTCTAAGTGTCTTTCAAAAGAGTATCAAGCTCCTGTTTGTAAGGAGCCCAAATAAGATCTGATAGTCACTTTGACATGTGCCAATCAAGCACTCTGTGGGCAAATGCCTCTCCCAATGACAAATTTCTTGTCTCTTTTGCAGCCCTGGCCGAAACGGCCATGCAGGTCAGTCTCCATCAACTGGATGAGGAAGAGCCTGCAAAGGGAGGCTGTGGGAGGATTGCCATCCTTTGCGCTGCCAACAAACATGGCAGCCTACACGGGTGTATGGAAGCTGGGCCCATCCCTCTCCATCAGCAAGTCTTTCATTGATGAAGCATGCCAGAGCACATCCATCTCAAAAACTGTGTCCGGAGAAGAAGGAAAACACTATTTTAAAACTGGAACGGCTGGGCTGGGAATGAGACAAAAACAACTTGATGAGGGAATGCCGTTTAAAAAAAAAATAAAACTCAGTTACCAGCAGATGTTCATGCCTTGGGTAGGGTGGTATGAGAGTAAACAGACTGAGGTATGCTCTCCATTCTCCTCCCAAAAGTATTATTGTACTCTATACCACCTCAGACTATTTGTCCATCAAGCAGCAGTTCTCCAGGATTTCGACCAGATAATCTTTCCCATGACCTCTCTGAGCCTTTTTTTGGTTTGAAATGGGAGAGCTCAGGAATTTAAACTGGGATTGTCTGCATGCAAACAGCTCTGCCCAAATGCAGCAGTCCTTCATGTCAGACTCATAGTCACTTTACCATCCTTCTAGCGTTGCTTGACCCTTGAGGTTACTCTAAACAGTGCTCCTCAGGGAGAATTTTAACAAATGTAGCTTCTCCCATCGCTATACCTTGGACTACAGAAAAAACATCCAACCCCTTATCAATTACCCCATGCCATGCTCTTTTCTTTCTCTTTTTCAGCCTAATCATAGGTTTGAGATTCCAGATTCCACATCTCCCTAACCTCCAAGCCATGCAGTAAATTCTGCAATCCCAAAAACACGATCACAGAATTGTTCTGAGAATGGTGCTCAGTCAGAAGTAAACCAGAAGGACCAACTAAAGGGCTGGATAGAGAGCCATGGGGATGTTAGAGAGGTTGGGAAAGGAGGATGGGTAGGATTGCTGTACCTCAGTTCACCCAACAAATAGAGCTGTTGCTTTCTCCAGCATGGAACAATATAACCAAGGTCAGAGTTTCTCCAATGGCAGGGCAAAACTCATATTTGATCATGTGGATCCACTGATCGAACAAAGTTCATTAAAAAATAACCTGCAAGGTAGGTTCTTAATTTCTCCTCACCCTAGATATAGCTTATTCCATGTCTGCAGACTCAAGCAAGACAAATCCAACCTTAAGTAGCATCCTACAAGTAGGAGTTTCAAGGCATTCTGTACTTTGTGGCAAGAGGTTCCGCTGTGTGATGGCAAAAACTGAGTAGTGTTGTCAAGCTCAAGTGGGTTGGAGACCCTCAACAAGCCCTCCCTAGAAGAATATGTGGGACGTGCCAAATCTAATAGCTGAGATGATCCTGCAGGTACATGTAACACAAACTATGTGGGGCATTAATGATAACCAGCACTTAGGCCTAGAAACAAATCAGTAACCTATACTGCAACTACAGCACCAGTCTTTCCTGACTCTCTATCTTCTATCAATGCCTAGTAGAAGAGCCATTACACTTAGAGCCAATTAAAGTTCATGATTTGTCTTCAGAGGTAGTCCTGAAAAAATAACTTTGAGGAACTTTGAGGCGGAAGAGCCACAACCAAAACAACAATCTGATAAAAGAAATCTGATTCCGGCACAGAAAAATAATTTGAAAAAAAAAATGTCTCAGAGAAGATCCTCTCCAGTTCTCACAAAGATAAAGGGAGGGTGGAGATCAGTATATTTAGTCTTGCAACATTTTGTTAACCTTTTACTGTAATAAAGGTAATATTGGCATTCATAATTTTGGTTTCCTAGTTGACATCCGATTACCCAAATAAATTGAAGGAAAGAAACAGGAGAAAAGTGCACTACACAAGCTGTTTTGAACTTCCATACAAATGTCGGGGTATAAACCACCAATCAGCAATCAAATCACCAGCCAATCCTGGACAAAGCCTACCCAGACATTGTCTCTAACAAGAATCATAAGTCTAGAAGGAACCCAAATTGTGGATCTACTCCTTTGCAGGGAGTGGAGTATGTGATCCCATCTATTTTTGGCAATTAGCAAGTCCATCTTACAGCATTTCATCTGAGCTTGTTTTGACCTCTCCACACACTGAGTCAGATTTTGTTTAACCTAGCCACAATAAAGGTGGAATTTGACCAATGCAGAATCAAATGGAATTGTTCTCATGATTTAAAAAACCATTGCTTTCGCTGATTAAGCATAGTTATTTTAACTATCATTCAAGCCAATTGCACCTGAATGGTTGGGTTAATATAATTTGTAATTTGCTTAATTAGATCAACCATTTTTGGGGATTTGCACACTACAAAAAATCACTAATCAAAAGAGCTGGGTTCACACAACACAAAATCTAACCAGGTTAAGATTAACCATGCTGAGGATGCTTTAGGAATACAGCATTTAGATATGTAAGAGCTCTGGTTAAGCATGCCATGTGAACGCAACTGATGAGTGTTTGCTTAGAAATTGCCTCAGGTTCCATCATGCAAAAATAGTGAGGGATACCTAAAATAAACAGTCTCTGGTGATAATTTTAAACTTACCTCTCCCACACTGCTGGAGAGGAAAGAGAAAGAGAACAACAAACATGAATTAAGTCAAACCCATAATTGGGAAACTGATAGTAATTACTAATTTGCCGGAAAACATAGCAAGTATCCCAAATGGCATAAGAGCATTGCAATGCTTGAGTTTAGACTCTACAAGCATTTTACCAAAACTGTTTGGAATTATTCAAAATATTTCCAAGTTATTAACTACTTGGAAATATTTTACCTATCCTATTATATTTTAATTAGATATTGGGTTTCTGTACAGAAAGAGCTGCTAATGGGGGAAGTTTTATGTTGCAACCTCAATGTTATGTTGACAGAACAAGAGGCAAAGATGCATAACTAATCTACTCTTCGTGCTACTTTTAAAAATACGAATCGAATGATTAAACAGCATTGTACAGGACAGTCCTATAATGCCTCCAGTGTGCACGATGCCGTAAGAATAAATCTCATGAATGAAACAGGACTTGCATTTGAATTAAAAACAGATAGGAATGTATTCTTAGCCATTCGGTGCACGGTTATGAGAAGGGCAGGGATTTTAATCCAATTTCTGCAGTGACACGAACTGTCTTAAAAGGGCATTTAAAGGCATGGTGGTCATATGGATACCTTCCTTGAACAGGAAGGCAATAAGCAGCCATTTGTCTGGCCTCTATCCAAGGCTATCTACAGCTCCTCCAATGAACTGGGTTTCAGGGTGTCAAAAGGGGGACAGTTTCTGTGTTGCTGTCCCTGCTAGCTGCAAAATCTCAAAAGAAGAAGCCTGGATCTAGCGGCCTCTGGAGAAGGCATCCAGAGAGAGCTTCTTCTGCGTTGGCGCGTAGGGATGTTTTGCCCTCTCCTCCCTGCCTCTTCTCAACTGGGGTACCCTCCTTCCCCTTCTTCTGAATCCTGCCAGTGCTCCTTCCTCGCTGAGCGCCCTGGGTTGCGTGTGCACTCTCGTCGGCCTGAGCCTTCTCAGGCTGCCCTTCCTGTTCACCCCTGGATAAAGCGCCAGGGATCTGGGAACAGGATACGCCAATCGGCAGGATATACACTTATAGCCGCAGTCAGCACAATACTGGGGGGGGGGGGGGGGGGGGGGGGGGGGGGGGGGGCTGCGCCCCCAGGCAAACCGCTCTCTGGAGGGGGGCTTTGCATGCAGACAACACCACTCCACCGCCTTAGGGGAAGCACTCCCCCAATTTCTCCCTCTAGCTAGTCTTTTTTTCCTCTCTCTCTCTCTCTCTCTCTCTCTCTCTCTCTTTTAACGAAAGGTGTGGCAGGCCACACGGTTTCAGAGAATGCAATCTATTTTAGCAGGGAGCCGTGTCCCATCCCGTGGTCCCAAGCCCCATCTGAGCCCTACATGGGATACAGAGGGAAAGGGGAAAAGGCTTGGGCTGGCTCGGATCCCTTCGGCCATCCGTTTCCTGTCTCTGCAGTGACAACCCATCGGGATAACATTCTTCTTCGTAGTTTCCCCCACCCTTGACACCACGCTCCCCTGGCCCCATCCTCTCTCTCTCTCCCTCCCTCTCTCTCTCTCTCTCTCTCTCTCTCTCTCCCTCTCCCCCCCTCCCTTTAAAGTGACAGGCCCTCGGAAATAAATCGCCAGGTTTGGAGACCTAGACGTTCCTAATTAGGGGCTCTTAAAGAGGCAATGATTAATGTGAGTCCTGACTAAGGCCAGGGCAAAGACGTGCCTAAGCAGTTGGGAGTAAAAGCAACAGCCGCTGAGAGGCACTCTGTCTTTGAAAAGGCCGGGTGTTTGACAGCCCTCTTAAAGGGGCAGCAGAGCACTCAGATTTGGCCTCCAAGGGATGCTGGTTTGTTTGTGGCTCCTCCATGATTTGGGGGGGGGGTGGAATTATTTCCCCCACACCCGAAGTCCCTGCTCCCTAACCATTACGGAATATCAATATGGATTGTTGCTTTCTTAGCTCTTCCCACCCCATCCAGAAGGGGAAAATTGTGATCATCGATGATTGTTTCTGAAAAGCCACATGTGTCTTTTCAGTTTGCAGCATTTTTGTTCAAGGGAAAATCCATTTGAAAGCAGCGCCATAGAAGAAAAATATGTTATGGAGAAACCAGATACAAAAAGCAGATGGCTGCCCAGGAGGAACCAAAGATCCCTGGGAAAAATTTGTGTGAATTCTCTTAGGTGCGTCTATGACTGGATCGCACCAACATGGCTTTTGCTAATAAGCATAAAAATTGGGTATCCTACGCATTGTGAGTAAACCTATGCTGGCCAGCCGGCAACCCTGCAGGAAAATCAGATGCACAAGATGTTATTTAAAATAATGTGATTTTAGGCCTTGGAATACATGAAATAAATGTGCACCTCTAATTACATCTGTATATGTTTGCACATAGATATGGTTTGCTGTTAGACACACTAGTGCCTGTCATATTGTGTTAAATAGTTTATGTCCATGTCCTGAAGGAACATTAAAAAAAATCTGCTTAGGCATAGCAATAAACATTTAAATGAATATTTATGGAATATCTACAAGGGATATATGAAGCAATTAAGTAAGTATAGTCCCTATACAAAGTGTCTTCAAGTGACAACCGTAAATTTAGTGATTGTTCGAAGTTACAACAGTACTGAAAAAAACCCTGATTTATGACCATTTTTCACACTTATGACCATTGCAGCTTCTACGTGATCAAAATTCTCATGCTTGGCAACTAACTCATATTTATGACGGT